TAATTGGGGAATATATTTTTGATTGATATTGGAGTAGATATAAATTGTATTAAATGAGGATTAATTCCAACTCAATATTTGAGAAAACTATTCAATATTTAAGCACTACTGATGGATCAAAATTAAATATCAAATACAAATTATCTAACCCCTTGATCTATAATCAAGATATTTATATTCCTACTACCTTCTTGCTTTATAAGTAACGTGAATCAATTGGTGATTCTAGGAACACCATTTTTGACTCTTATTGAGTCTATTGAAAGAATAGACTCAAAAGGAATCATAACTAATTTAAAAAGGCAAAAAAAATTATTTGAATTCATAAATCCACCTCAAGTCAAAATAGTAAATCAAATAAAAGATAATATAATTCACAAAGAAAATAAAATAAATTTTCTACAACAAGAAATTCAAATTCTAAATATATCTACTCATCGGTTTAAAATTCAATTAAAGTAATTAGAAGATAAAATGATTTGTGAAATATGTAGCAATATTCCTATTGCTTTCTGGGCTAGGAAAAAGCGTGTAGTGACACTTCCTTATATCAAAGGATTTAATGAGAAAGATATTTCGACTAAAGATAGGCCAACTCAAATGAATAAAGAATATCTAGAATTCTGTAAAACAGAAATTAAAGCTTTTTTAAATAAACTTTTAATTCGTCAAAACTGTTCAATCCAGAGTTGTGCAGCTTTTTATGTGAATAATAATGCTCAAAAAGAGCGAGGGGTGCCCAGATTAGTAACTAATTATAAACCCCTTAGTAAGGTCCTTAAATGGATACAATATCCCATTCATAATAAAAAAAATTTGTTATGCATATTATATGATGCTAAAATATTTTCTAAGTTTGATTTGAAGTCAGGATATTGACAGATCCAAGTAATTGAGAAAGACAAGTACAAAACTGTTTTCGCTGTCCCTTTTGGTTACTATGAGTAGAATGTAATGTCATTTGGACTTAAAAATGCTCATTTTGAATTTCAAAATATCATGAATGATATATTTTATCCATACTCCAAATTTTGTATCGTTTATATGGATGATATTTCGTCTTTTCTAATTTTATTGATCAACATTTTAAGCACTTAAATACATTTTTACAGATAATTAAAAGAAATGGTTTAGTCATCTAAGCAGTAAATATGAAATTGTTCCAGATTAAAGTTAGATTTCTCGGATGCTACATTACTCAAGGGAATATTATCCCTATTGAGCGAAATATAAAATTTGTTTCTAAATTTTCAAATGAAATAAAGGATAAGAAACAATTACAAAGATTTTTGGGAAGTCTTAATTATTTATTAGACTTTTATATAAAAATCTAACACAGAATACTGCTATCTTATATAATAGACTCCAGGAGAATCTGTCTCCATGGACATATTTTCATATTGAAGCTGTAAGAAAGATAAAACTTAAAGCTAAACAACTACCTAATGATTAACGAATCCTAATTGATATAAAGTTGTTGAAATAGATGCTTAAGATAACGGATATGGTGGGGTTCTTAAGCAAAGACATCTTGAAACTACTAAAGAAGTCCTTATTAGATTTGCTTCAGGAAAATGGAATAAAGCACAACCTAACTATTCAACTACAAAAAAGGAAATTTTATCCATTGTAAAATGCATAAGTAAATTTCAAAATGATTTATTAAATCAAAAATTCTTATTAAGAATTGATTATAGCTCTGCTAAAACTATTTTGGAACAAAATGTTAAAAATATAGTCTCTAAACACATTTTTGTAAGATGATAGACTATTTGTCAGTTTTTGACTTTAAGATTGAATATGTAAAAGGGAAACTAAATTCTCTTTCTGATTAATTAACTAGAGAATTTTTGCAAGGTTCATAAATGAATCAAGCACGGGGAAGAACCCCAAGAGGCCAACGAGGTGGCCGAACAGAGGGTTGCACACAAGTAAATGCATATTTTCCTCCCTTGATAGTATCTCAACATAGTAAATCTGTTAATGAACCTCTTTTTAAAGTAGGTAGAGCAGAGAAATCTCAATTACATAATGAATAATTTGAACTCGTAAGGAGTAAGAAATCTATGAATTAAGTCCTTATTTCTAAACCAGAATTAAATTTTGCAGAATATCATACACTAAAAGTGGTTGAAATGATTCTAATATTAGAATCTGATTATGATATTTGGATTAATGATCCATGGTATATTGCCAGTCAATATTTGGAACTTGACAATGCTTTTCCCATAAAAGAGAATATGGATAGAAGGGCATATGGGCTCATGCTTTTAGAAGCAAGTTCTATTGAAATTGAACACCATAAAAGGAATATTCAGGATCCTCATGAGAAAACTGTTTTTGGCAAGCATGGATATTATCCAAAAAAGAATGGGGATTAAATCCTACTAAAGCAAGAAAATTAACAAAGTATCCTTATAGTCAATGTAAGTACTTTGATTATATCGAAGCATGACATAATGCCTTTTATTTTCAAAATCCTGCATTAAGACATACTTGATATTTTTGTTTCGCTTCCTTAGTAAGAGGAATACCAAATTGGTTTTATTTATTGTGGGAAACTCATGGTGTTGTGGAAGAAGCATATCCGCCTCAACTACTTCAATTATTAAATTATTATAAACAAAAAAGTCCTGCCATATAGGATAACAAAATTATGGATAAACCTATTATCTATTTCTCCATTGAATTTTTTGTTCCATGCATCTGGACATGATCTTTTTGTTGTGACCACAGCAATAATGGATTTCCAAGACTATTAAGAGAATATTATGTAAGATTTTGGAATAATTATCCTATTATCGAAAAAGTTGAGATTATAAAGACATGACTTAAAGATATCGATAAAAAAGAGTCTAGCACAAATCAAACATTTTCATTAGAGACTGCAGGATTAAATCCTATCGAAATCTTTGAAAAGAAACTTCGGAAGGAAAAACTTGATCTTAGTTCTGAGCAGTTTAAAGTGACAATTATGGAAGAGATGCGATTATTAATGATTGCCTCATTTGGTCTCGGTAAAAACAAAAAAAATTGATGTGGTCAATACTCCGACCATTAACAAAGATAAAGACAACAGTAATATTAGACTGACCAAAATTTGAGATCAAATTTAGAGCCCAAATGACATGATAATTGATTATTTGAAGTTTTTATTGGGGCCCAAATGACATGACACCAATCACAGAAGTCCAAGTCAACTGCCATGTTATTTGAGCTACAAATTTAGTCTCAAAATTTGGTCAGTTTAGCATTATCCTAAAAACAATTATTGTAACCTCTACCGACTCCAACAAAGACAATATGATGGAAGATAAATCTTCATGACAATGATTTGATAAATTTTTTGCACGCTAACCAGTAAAAACAGCTACAATAAAAGCATGAAATAAATGAGGTAAGTGCTTACGTTAAGAACCAATATGTTCTTATAAACCTGTGTGCGGCGAAAGTAATAAAACTGTGCGTGTCTGATTCCGTGTATGTCTTTCATAAAGACCAAATTCAATCCATTGATTAGAAACTGGTTTTTGAATGGACCTCAAATAAAAGAATCACATGAAATGAGTCCGGCAAATGTTTATTTATAAACGAAATACGAACAATGATCTAGATATAATATTTTTTCAACGAATTAATTTGTACAATTTTGGTGATAATATTACATAATTTGGATGATACAATATGAGTCCGATGAATATGAAATAATATTTAATTTAATTATAAATATGCTTTATATTTTTCTTGTTTCATTAATTTGTACAAAAAATTCAGTGGCAACAGTCATGTGATGCATCGATAGTATTTTGGATAAATATTAAAAATGCCTCTAAAACTCCAGCCTCTTTGTAAAATGCCTCCAAAAATTTAATTTGTTATAATGTATCCCCCGAACTATGTAATGCGTGTCACTTAATTAAACACCTTTTATAATTCAAGGGACATTTATGAAATTTACCCTAATATTGTTAAATATAGAGAATTATTCCCAGATTCTCTAAAATTTGTCATTTAATCACTCATATCTTTAAAATATTACACAAAAATCTCTTGAGATTTGTACAGCATAGCACTTAGACCCCTATCGTCAAATGTTCATTAATAAATTACACTCAAACCCCTTGAATTTTTAGACGTATAATGCTTAACTTCTCATGTTTAAAATGTTATAATTAAATTAAAAATACTCAAATTAAAGATAGAATATCAGATATTTTAAATTTTACAATCAAAATTCCTGCTTTATTCTATCATTTATTGAAACAAAATAAAAAATATAAAGTCAAATTTTTCTTAAAAAATCGCAATTAGTATATAATTATACTATCTATTTGAATAAAGCTACAAAAAAAATCAAACAAGAGGTTTAAGTCATTCATAATAGAATATGAATTTTGGTTGTAAAATTTATGTTATATTATGTCATTTATTGAAATAAAATCAAAAATAAATTTTTTTTTTAAAATCATCATAATTAGTATACAATTATACTATCTATTGGAATAAAATTTAAAAATGAAACAAGGGGTCAAACTGTAGTTGATACAATATATTCTAACTTTAATTGGGGTAATTTGGTAATCTAAACACAAATTAAATTCTAATAGATAGTATAATATATTAATTATAATTTTTTTAAGAAAAAAAATATTTTTTTATTTTTAATTTTATTTCAATAAATATTATAATAGAACATGAATTTTGATTGTAAAATTTAAAATATTTGATATTTTATCTTTGATTGAAGTATTTTTAGTGTAAATATTACATTTTAAATTTGAGAGTTTTAAGTATTACATGTTTACATACTTTAGGGGATTTGAATGTAATTTATTTACAAATATAACGATAGAGAGTCGTATAAAACTTAAGGAGTCGGTGTATAATATTTTAAACATAAAAAAATTTAAATAATTAAATAATAAATCTTAAAGAGTATCTAAATATAATTCTCTCTTTTTTAAATGTTAGGTAGTCTGGAGTGCACACCAACACGTTGCATGTGCCCGAGAAAATGGAAAAGGGAAAGCAAAGGTCAGCGTTTAGCTGTTTGGCACCATGATTCGGTTGTTGAGACGAAACCGACTATCGTCATCTTTCTTTTAAAAATAAGGTTAGTCTCAATTTGTACTATAAAAATTTTAATTTATACCCTAAAAGAGTTAAATTCTCAAATTACACTTTTAATGTTATAAAATAGATGCAATATAACCCAATTTGAGGTTGAAATTTTAGATTAAAAGTGCAATTTGAGATTAAAATAGGGCCACATTGCACCTATTTTATAATATTGAGGATGAAATTTAAGAATCTAATTCTTTAAGGGTGCAAATTGAGAATTAGAATATCTTTTATGGTACAAAGTGGGATTAGCCCTAAAAACAATTCAAAATGGAAAGCGTGCGCGAGAGAGATGGTGGGTGAGATTGGTTGCGGCAAAATCGACTATCATCATCTCTGCTAAAAACATCAAAATCGGAAGGCAAACGAGAGAGATAGAGGATTGGTGAGGTATTTTTAGGAAGATGATGGGGTTGAAGGAGACGTTCTACATATCTCATGGATCACCGACGCTGTCCATTGACGATTCATTGCCGGCCAGACATTTCCTGAAATCTTTCAAGGAAAAGGTGTTCAATCAGAGGCCCAATTCAATTCTGGTGATATCAGGCCATTGGGAAACCTCCGAGCCCACCGTCAACGTGGTCTCTGGCCGCAACGAAACCATCTACGATTTCTATGGCTTCCCCAAATCCATGTACAAGGTATATCCAAAATCTGCCTTCTGTTTTACACGACTATGAATACGTATAGGCATGCATTTGACTTTAGAAAGCAGAACGGATAGAAGTACAACATCTGCACCGTTGAATCACAAATTATTGGATCATGTGGATTCTAGTCTATATCTTAAGAAACGTGTTCAATAGGTTTCTTTATTCCACTCGATTATCTGTTTTAGAAAGTCAGCCACTAAAAACTGGCCTATAATAGGCTTCTGATTTTAACTTGTAGTTTCCATATGCTAAAATAGTGATGCAATTTAAATCTTCACATTTGGAGAACCAAACTTATTCATTACTTCATTGTTTTTGAATGGAAAATGGCATACGCATCCTTTTCATTTACAAGGTTATTTCTAATAACAGCTATTTACAATAAGAATTAAGAGTCATGATGTAGTTGTTTACAATTTCTCAACCCTATATTGGTCAAAGATTCTCTTTATTTTGAAAGGTTGCTCTCTAAAATAGGAGAAAATATTCATTACAATGGTGATACCACATGGCATTGTGATGTGGTATCACCAACTAATATTATTAAAACAAATAAGTAAATGGACCTCAGAAAAATTAATAACCAACTTGCCATGTAGCCACCATGTAACCGTAAGTGGGGTTCACCTTTCTCACTTGAGATTTTATTATTGGTAAGTGATACCATGTCATCAATGGTGACATGGTATCACCGGTTGCATTCAATATTTACTCCTAAAATAGAGTGTCATATAGGAGGGAATTCGTCTTGCAATGATTTCTTCTAAATTAATTGAAGTATTATCATAATATTAAATGATGTGCCGCTTATAAAAAAATAGTTATAGTAGGATAAAAACCACAAGGAGCCCCCAAGTTCTCATCAAATAACATGGTCACCCCTTGACATTTTAAAAATATTGTGGTGGTCCTAATCATCTTCATCGGCATCAACGATTTAAGAACAAGACTTTTTTGCCTGCCTTTGTTTAATTGGTCAAAACTAAATAAAGATAAGCACAACCCTAACTCCACCCACCCCCAACTCACTACCCCTCCCTTCCTCATCCTTGTCCCACAAACCCCCTCTCCTCTCACCTTTGCACACAATCCACCTCTTATTTTTCCTCCTAGTCACTTTATATCACATCCCCCCCCCCCAAAAAAAAAAAACAAAAATCCCAACATACACTTACTACCTTGTTTCTGATGTGTTGTGCATATACAACCACACTATATCATTTGAGACCACCTAAGAAGCATGGATACGAAATGAGTATCGCATCCAATACGATATGGATACGGGTATGACAAGAATATGACTAATTAAAATAATATTATATATTTTTTATATAAATAACATTAATAATAAGATCTAAAAATCATTACGTAGTTGGTTAATATCTTGAAATTGGACAATAAATTAATATTAAATTGGACAGTAAGCTAATATGTTAGAATTAGGCAGTGGGCTAACATCAAATTGGCCTATGGGCTAACACCAAAATGGGCTGTCGGTTAATTTATTTGACAACTAATAAATAAATTATACAAAAAAAAAAGAAGAGAAAAGTATTAAAAAAAGAAACGTCTCTATTGATTGTTCAATTGAGATTGTGAGAGAGAGAGAAAGAAAGAAAAAGAAATAGAAGTCGAACTAGGGTAGCCGACGATCTTAGGAAGCAGAAGGAAAAGGAAGAAGAAAAGGGAAAGAAGAAGGTGGCTTGAAGCAAATCCGAATAGATTATTGAAGTAGATCTGGATTCCGGTATGTCTCTTCACCTCTTCTTCGTCTTTAGTATATTTCTTCACCTCTTCTTCTTGTCATATCCCCCAAGAATCCCCACGTATCTGACAACAAAAATTCTTGTTCGTTGTTCAGGATATCTTTACAGGTGTCAGACACTTGTTCAGTTGTGTCTCACACGTATCTGTGTCGAACACATGTTTGACACTGCCAGATCGACCCCCTAACGAGTATTCATGCTTCCCAGGCGACCATCATGAAACACGAACCCAACCACCTCCACCATAACCCTCTTCCCCCTTTTTTATCTCTCAAATTCCCATTTCTGCAACGCAAAACCATTTATATAGAGTAGAATTGTTAGAAGTAAAAAAGATTTACAAACTAAGTATAGAACCCTGTATATATAGCCTAATAAGAGTGCAATTGGCCAAAACACCCTTCTGGTTGGGATAAGACATAAAAAGCGTAGTAAGAGTAAAATAGATAAAAAACTAAATATCATAATAACTTAGCTATAACTCCAACACTCCCCCTCAAGCTAGGCCTAAATATGTCAATCAAGTCAAACTTGACAATAGAGTCCTGGAGAATGGATAGAATGACAGGTTTAGTGAAAATATTTGCAACCTGATCACTAGTCCTCACAAACGATGGGGTAAGAATATTGCAGCTGACCTTCTCCCAAAGAAAGTGAACATAGATTTCTATAGTCTTTGTCCTCTCGTGTAGTACAGAGTTAGAAGCGAGCTGAATAATAGATTGATTATCATAATATAATGTAGATAGAGAAATCACTAAAAATTCCAACTCGCCAATAATAGACCGTAGCCAGATAATCTCACATGTGCTAAGTGTCCGTGCCCATAGTTTGCCTCTATTGATGAACGGGAGACAACTGTCTCCTTCATGCTCTTCCAAGAGATAAGATGAGTCCCTTGAAAAGTATAAAAACCCATAGTAGATCGACTGTCACAAGTTTTTCCATAATCTGAATCTGAATAAATGGTTAGAGAATTAGTTTGTGACCCCAATGCGTATAACAACTCAAGTCCAAGACAAGAGTTAAGGTACCAAAGAACATGATATACTACATCTAGATGAGACTGACACGATTTGTGTACGAACTGACTAACTCGGCTGATGGCAAATAAAATGTCTGGCCTAGTGTTGGCGAGGTAGATAAGCCTGTCTATCAACTTTTGATAAATAGTCGGATCTCTCAACTCCTCACCTTCAGTAGTAAACTTCAGGTTTGGAATCATAAGTTATGATGTCGATTTTTTGGAAAAAAAAAAAAGAAAAAAAAATGATGTCGGTTTGCACCCCAGTATCTCAGTATCCAAGAGAAGATCCAGAACGTATATTTTCTAAGAGAGAATAATATCCCTACTGTTAGGACAACCTTAATCTCAAGAAAGTATCGTAAAAGTCCTAGGTCCTTCATATCGGAGGCCTTCCCAAGGTCAACTTTGACTTGTGCATTTCCAGAAATGTCATCACTACTAATAATAATATCATCCACATATATTAAGAGAATGACATACTGCCTAGTAGTATTCCGTCGAATAAAGCATATATGATCTAAATGACATCTAGTGAAGCTGAAACATATAACCACACCACTAAATCGAGAGAACTAGGCTTGTGGTGATTGTTTTAGTCCATAAAGAGACTTATGCAGTCGACACACTTTCCCAGCATACTCCCCCTCGCCACGAAAGTCAAGTGGTGTATCCATATAAATAGTTTTGTCCAAGTCATGTAAAGAAATGTATTCTTCACATCCAACTAATAAAAGGGCCAAGAATACGAGGCATACAGAGAGATAATCAAACGAACTGCAGTCAACTTTGTTGGCGGGGTAAAGGTTGCTCCAAAATTGTGACCTAGAACTTGAGTAAAGCCCTTCGCCACAAGCTTAATCTTGTAATGATCAATAATATCATCCATAAGAAATTTTAGGGTGTAAACCGAGTGATAGCCAAGAGGTTTCATCCCTGAAGGTAAAGAAATAAGATCCTATGTATAGTTATGCTAAAGAACGTCCATCTCTGTAAGCATAGTAAGGACCCACTAAAGCTTTCGCATAGCCTACGGAGTGAGGAACTGACATATCTGATAATGTCATACTATAAGTCCGAAATGTAGGAGACAATTCAGCACAAGAAACATAGCAAGAGATCGAATATAAAGCCCTGGTGGCCCAACCACAACGAACAACTAGCCGACAGTCACAACGTGGATAACGACGCCCTGAATCATCATCATCCACAAACAAAGTCTCATAAGATAAATCACATGTGCAAAAACCTCAACTCTTGCAGTCTCATCAATCTTAACACCTGTAGTCTCATTAGTGTTAACAGCAGGCTCAATAGTATGCTCAGCTAACTGAAAAATATTACCTATATCGCCTCAAGTAAAGGGGACATTAGTAGGGGGATGAGAGCGAGGGCGACGAACATAAATCTGTAAAGGACGAGAGACTAGGATATCATGTGTAACTGATGACTTTGTAGTGACAGTGACTAATGGCTCCGGAGGTAAGGAAAATCAAAAAGAGTATCTTTAACTAGTGATGCAGACATAGGACTAGAAGCAAAAAAATAAGGTACATGCTCAAGAAAAGTAACATCTAAATTGTGATCATAACATCGATAGCCCTTAAATTGTTGACAGGAGCCCACAAAGACCCAACAAATAATTGTATCATCAAGATTATGACTAGTAAGAGACAGATCCTGAACAAAACATGTACAACTAAAGACCCGAGGAGGGACTAGAAAAAGTGTCCACTTAGAAAATAAGATCTGTAAGGGAGCCCTACGTTGAATAATACGACTCGGTGTACGATTACACAAGAATGTAGAAATCAAAACTATAAAATGCCAATAACAATAAGACTTAGACACCCCATACCTCTAAGCATATAACATATCATCCCTATTAGACTCATTTTTTCTTTCAGCAACTTCATTTTGCTCAGAAGTATATGAGTAGATGAACTGTTAAAGGATACCCTAGGAAGAAAGGTGAGACACTAAGGTATTAGACACATATTCTTTGTCATTTGCTAAACTTAGAGCTCAAACAATGACATGGAATTGCGTCTTAATCATCTGTAGAAACACAATGATAATAGGGAGTATATTTGACTTCCTATGCAAAAAGTATATCTAAATACAGTAGGTATGGTCATCTATAAAAGTCACATAATATCAGACACCTGACCAAGTAGTAACAGGTGAGGGTTCCCAAATATCAAAGTGTATCAGGTTGAATGGCCTAGGAGACTGGT